TTCATATACCACTCTTAAACCAAACCCATGCCTGCCACAAATTAAGTGTGTTAACTAGTTACAAATATTTCATCAAATACAATGTAGTATCATTTATGTGTTTTATAACAGTCTTAATTAAACACAGTTACGATAACCATGGAGTATTTGATGTGTGGCTACCCTGTGGCTCCTGTAGGAGATAGTTTGCAATTTATTTCATGATACATGTAACAAATTGGTGGATTAAAAAATATACCAGACAGATTCAATCATCTTTTCCTTCATTTTTTTCCTAAGTTTAAACTTAAAAACAGATTCCCATTTGATATAGTGGCAGCTAAACTTGAGTTCAAAGATATAGCTTAAATACTGCCATAGCTTGCCTTTTTGCCATAAAATGTTGGAAATCTAACCTCATCAACTGCTATGTAAAGATAATTATTAGACCCATTCTGTTGAGTGGCCATCATACTGGCCAAATTGTGTTACCATATACAATCAGAATTCCAAGTTTTTTTAGTCATACAGTGTTGGAAATCCAACCTCATCAACCGGTATGTGGCGAGATAAACTAGGCCACATTTAATTTAGTAGCCATAACTGCCTGGATTTCCAGAAAAAAAATTTCCATACACGTCTGGATTTCCAGATTCTGTTTCTCCATATACAGTTGGAATTCCGGGGTATTTTCCCCATCATACAGTGCTGGAAATCCGACCTCATCAACAGGGGGGGTGCAGATATAAACTGGAATGGCCCATTGAGAGAAATTATCACTTTCCACTTATTGAATTATTTATTATCTATTTAAATCTAATGCTCTGGTTGTACTTGCTATATGCTATACAAAGAAATGTTCACACAAAAAAGGCCTCTGATATATGTATATCAACATCGTTTTTACTAGTTGACTGTCATGCGCTGAGTTACCTGTACGTACAATGATGTAAATGTGTGAATGATATCGGTATATAAATTGTGTCATAATTTGCAGTTCTGCTAATTTTCTCTAGGGGCTCTGTACGGCTTGTGTAATTAACATTTTGCAAATGTGTACATATTTTTGTATAATTTTTTACATGTTAATTTTGCCTCTTGATTAATTTTTCCAAAAAAACGGTAGTAATACTTAAATGCAATTATAAACATGTGTTTATTTGTTTTCTAGATGGCAACAGTAGCGCAAAATCTTCATCAAAACAGACAGTTGATATGTTTTTGCAACCAAGTAGTAGAGTATCCTCCCCTGCTGCAGTAAACACTAGCCGGCTGAACATAGCTGAAACTCTACCTGGAAGTAATAATGTACATGATGATCCATATAATGTACCTTCAATGCTGAAAATTGATATGGATGATGATGATGACACTGACATTGAATCAGGTCTACATAATACAAGCAGTACTCTTCCTTCGCTGTCCCCACCCGTTGTTGTTATCTCAAGAATGGCATATGCAGTATTGAAACCTGATCTGCATCCTTCTGTAGATCGGTTGACATTCGAAAACTTACCGCCGAGTCGCGATAGCACCTGGGTTTCTTCAGTACGCCCACCACTTGTTACCACAGTGACAAATGAAGTGAAAAGTATGTTTTATCGGCAGTGGATTGACCCAAAGAATTATCACTATGACTACGAAAGGAAAATAGAGAGTACCACACAAGCACAACATCACCCCAGACGGCTACTTTTGAGTGGGCCACATCAGGTAAGACATTCTACTACCCTATAACATCTGTATCAGATCTAAATAAATCTAAGATCAATTGAATTCTTGAGGCAGCCTATACAGTAAGGCCAAAAAACAAAACTTATGTTGCCCTCAAGTCGAAAAATTTTAAAATTCGGTCGGTCGGTCAGATTTTTATTTTTAAATTCATGAAAACTAAGAGTATCGTAAATAGCCAAGGTATATGGCCTTCATAGTATTAGGAACATGTCAGAGAAATACAGATTAACCCGAGGTTCAATATCGCCACTTACGGGGACTCTGGGTATCAAACAATAGTCCAGGATCCTTAATTTTTAGAGGAAACACTTTTTTACTGCTTAAAATGTTGGATTTTTAATAGTTGAGCCTATTAAAGAAAAAAAAAAACGTGACCTGATATTTTCATATTTTTCGGTCGGTCACTGAGGGCAACGAAACAATCTTTTTTTATTGCCTACTGCTCCCTAAACTCGGAAGTACATGAGTGCAATAGCTCTTAGACATTTACTGTGCTTGTATCTCCAAGCCATGTGACAGTAATTCCTTTCAGACTTGTACCGTTACAATATGCTTTTATCTACTGCATGCTCATCAGTGCAGTTAGGGAGATTTTTTACGTTTAGTATTATTTCACTTTAATTTGCAACAAAACAATTCATCGATATACTGCAGACTTCCTTGACTGTGTTTATGGTTTGTTCTGAACCTTTGCTGTACTAACTTTTCTCCCAAAATATGGCTTAACATGATTGTCATCATTGATGCTGTTTGCTGCAAGCTGGATGTTCACATCTGGTTTATGTGAGCATTACCTCATGCATGCACACTAGCTGTTACGCTAGCTGTTCTTACATACTAGTAGTCATTTAGTAGTTGGTCTGAACAGAGTGCAGAATTGTTTAACCCATGTAGCCATGGCTAATTAATTTTTTTAGCTCCACTGTCGACTTTGTCGAGCGGAGCTTATCATATGAGTGATTGTCCGTCGGCGTTCGTCGTCGTCCGTGTCAATGTTTTACTTTTTCGACTACAAGCCTGAATGTTTTGATACTTGGTGTATATGTACCTTCGGTAGACCTCTCTCAGATTTGTTCATTTCATGATGATATCTTCAATTCTCTAATTTTGGTGAATATTTTTGTCATTTTTGGTAAAAAGTGATATTTTCGACTTCTTGTTAAAAACCGCAAGTCCAATTGCTTTGATATTACATATATAGGTACTACATGTGGACCTCTCTCAGATTTGTTCATTTTGTAATGATATCTTCAATTCTCTAATTTTGGTGAATATTTTTTTCATTTTTGGTGAAATGTTATATTTTCAACTTCTTGTTAAAAACCGCAAGTCCAATTGCTTTGATATTACATATATACCGGGTACTCAGATTTGTTCATTTTGTAATGATATCTTCTATTCTCTAATTTTGGTGAATATTTTTGTCATTTTTTTGTAAAAAGTGATATTTTCGACTTCTTGTTAAAAACCACAATCATTTATGGAAAAAAATGATATTTTTGAATTCTTGTTGAAAACAGCAAGTCCCATTGCTTTGATACTATACATATTGTTCATTTTCTAATGATATCTTCTGTTCTTTAATTGAAATGTGCATTGCTAACAGCAGAGCTACATGTATCTCAGCCGAGAGGCTGCTTGTTTTTCAAATCAATGTAAATACATTGTCAAATCAACTGTTTTACACTTTTAGATTCTTTAAGTGTCATCATTTTGTCTTTGTCAATTTTTTAATGCAACATTTTACACAAATTTATGTATTTTTCAAAAATTTTCTTCTCAATTTTGAACTAAATATCTCATTGGCTGTTTGTATAGCAGGCCTTGATCAAAATAATTGGAAATATATATAGGGAACATTGTGCAGATTATGGTTATTAATCAACGGTGACAAAAGTTGATTCAAAAATTTATTTAAAACTGGTATTTATCGAATTGAAGATTCATATAAACCCACTATACATGTACTATCAGTTCCTGTAACGTGGAGTCTGAATCTGAAATATAAAACTGTACAACGCTAGCATACACATGTATTGAGAGGAATGCCGCTACTCTTTGTGACAAGTACAACTGGTTCTTTTACGTGCATCAAAGGATATCATCAGTAAACACGGCCCCATCCGCAATGGTGGTATTCTCTCAAATACGAAGGCTGCGTGCCTGGCAAGTGGGCAGAATGTACTCTTTTTGTCTTTGCTGTGCTGAGTGTGCAGCAGACCATAAGAGTCAAACCTACAATCTTTCCTGATGATAGATGGACCTGCTAACCATTGTGCTATACATCATGTTAGAGTTTCCTAAACATTGTATTTATTCTCTCAGGTTGGCAAGACAGGTGCTTTCCTCCATTTTGCCAGAGTGCTATCCCGTATGCTAATAAGGTTACAGGAAGTGGAAGTGTATGATGAGGAAGAGGTTAATGTTATTCCTGCACTACCAAGTATTATGCAACCATCGCCATCAAGCCCAATGGCAAAGTGGCCAGACTTTGAACTTGTCTCACAGATTGCTTTTGATTCCGCTATACATCAAAGAAAACTTTCACATTGTAGTCCTATAAGTGGGTCCTCCATGGAGCCGCTAAGTAAGTCGGTTTTAATTTCCCAAAAATATTGAGCCATTTTCGCTTTTTCATCATGCAATCTAGCCATGGATATTGCTGTCCTTTGCCTGTGAGGGCGCCAAACTGATACATGTATGACAATATATGTTCACATTTCAGATGTTACTGGACCAGTTGAGAGGCCGACAACCTCCATGATGATGTCACAGTTCAGTGCGCACAATGCCTTCCATCACTGTGAACAGTGTCAACATTATAAAGACATTCCCATTCCAGAGGTAAGTTGACCAATACTGGTAAAAACAGCGTTCGTAACTGTACTTTGGGCTAGTTGTTAAGACTCTTCTGCAAAAGATTTACCACTACATGTGCAACATATATAAATTTGGTTGTTCAGGATGTCTCATAGTTGAGCTTATGCTGTTTTCTCGACTTCAGCTATTTTCACTGGCGCTTTGACCGGCATTCCACAACAGTTTGCACAGAGCCCATAGAAATGCATGGTACAGTGGTGCGCTTCTTAGGAATGTACAATGTTCTGTTATGTATCTCCGCCCTTAAGAGTATCATCAACTATTCATCTACTGTGGGAGATTATATATTATTAAACAGAATCAAAAAATCTTGCTGCATGTGATGTACATGTATTGTATGTGATTTCACAGAGTTCAAATCATTTCAGCTAATCATGCTGGTCATCAGTTTCTGATTTGCAAGGATCACATAAGCTTTGCCGGCTGAAAGCCTACACTGAATACAAAAATCAATTGAAAAAAAGTCATCATGTTATTTTTGTGTAGCATAACATCTCTTGTTGTGTAACATAACATCCTTATGTAGCATAGAATCCTTGTTGTGTAGCCTAGCATTTTTCTTGTGTAGCATATCATCCTTGTTGTGTAGCATAGTGTTCGTGTTGTGTAGCATAGCATTTTTGTTGTGTAGCATAGCATCCTTGTTGTGTAGCATAGCATTATTGTTGTGTAACATATCCTTGTTGTGTAGCATATAATTCTTGTTGTGTAGCATAGCATCCTTGTTGTGTAGCATATAATTATTGTTGTGTAGCATAGCATCCTTGTTGTGTAGCATAGCATTATTGTTGTGTAACATATCATCCTTGTTGTGTAGCATATAATTCTTGTTGTGTAGCATAGCATCCTTGTTGTGTAGCATATAATTATTGTTGTGTAGCATAGCATCCTTGTTGTGTAGCATAGCATTATTGTTGTGTAACATATCATCCTTGTTGTGTAGCATATAATTATTGTTGTGTAGCATAGCATCCTTGTTGTGTAGCATAGCATTATTGTTGTGTAGCATAGCATCCTTGTGTAGCATATAATTCTTGTTGTGTAGCATATTGCCCTTTTGTGCAGCATGTAGCATAGTGTTCTTATTGTGTAGTACATTTGTATAGTGTCCTTGTTGTGTTGCATACTGTCCGTCAGCATTCTGAAATGACCTATGATTTATTACATCTAGCAGGGACCAGGCAATGTGTTTATATGCTATTCTTGCATCAGCCAGCATCTGCAGATTTTACCCAAGGTCCTTAAAAGTTGCTTTGTTTTGTTTAGTGAAGGAATCTTGGTCAGTGTTTTTGGCTTGTCAATTGAATCTGACATGCACACCCCTGGGAAATGTCTACCTATTTTTGGTCATCAAACCAAGTAGGATTCTAATGCATAACCTACCACTCACTACTCTACTGGTTAATGAATTCAAATAATGTTGTTGTTTATCAGGCTCAACTTGCTCGCACTCATCGGTTTACATTTACTTCAACTATGTATGGTGAGGACCTGGAGATGCAGTTTGTGATTCCACCACAACAAGAAAAACATTTTGTTTTTAATCACTCAACCGGTCAGCTAGAAAGTATGGTACTGCCGACTGTTAGCGAAAAGGTAAATGTAAGTTCTGAAAATACATTGATGTATCTTTTCTTGTGTGTTTAGTTAATCTAATAATTCTCTCCAAACTAAAACATGTCACAATGTTACCGGTCTGATTACCCAGCAGACAGAGATTTTGTTATAGTGTTTGTCATTATTACGTGATTAAATACGATGGATTGCTAAATACGAGTTGTGTTAATATATCATCCTTTATGAGTAGCATAGCATCCTTGTTGTGTAGCATAGCATCCTTGTTGTGTAGCATAGTGCTCTTGTTGTATAGCATAGTGCTCTTGTGTAGCATAGTGCCCTTGTGTAGCATAGCATCCTTGTTGTGTAGCATAGCATCCTTGTTGTATAGCATAGTGCTCTTGTTGTACATTGTATAGCATAGTGGTCTTGTTGTGTAGCATATTGCTCTTGTTGTGTAGCATAGTGCTCTTGTGTAGCATAGCATTCTTGTTGTGTAGCTTAGCATCCTTGTTGTATAGCATAGTGCTCTTGTTGTACAATGTGTAGCATAGTGCTCTTGTTGTGTAGCATAGTGCCATTATTGTGTAGCATATGGCCCTTTTGTATAGCATATAGCTTTTTTGTGTAGCATAGCAGGTAATGCCTGCTGAAAGCTTCCACAGATATACCAAAAGCAATTGAAAATTGAGTTATCATTCCCTTTTTGTGTAGCATAGTGTTCTTGTTATGTAGCATAGCATCCTTGTTGTGTGGCATAGTGCCCTTTTGTGTAGAATACTATAAAATACTTTATCTTCGCTTGGAATTAAATTTCGCTATTTCCGCTGAAGGATTGATTTGGTGAAAATAAAATCCAGCGAATATACCTTTTTCCTATATTTCACATTCAACTCGTCAGAAATCAGTGAAAATTAATTCCATACAAAACACCCATAAAACACTTTTAAGCCAAAATTAATTCCAGCTAAAATAGAGTATTTTACAGTTTGGCTCTTTTGTTCAGCAGTCATTTATATGGCATATTGTTCTTGTTGTGTTGCATACTGTCCTTCAGCATTCTGAAATTACCTATGATCTATTACATCTAACAGGGACCAAATGCTGTTAAGACACCAATCTTCACTCCATCCAGTGGTCGTCATGAGCACGGTCTAATTAATCTATTCCACGCAATGGGAGGCGCCAAGCATCTACATATCCTAGTTGTAAAACAAAGTGAAATGGCACTATACAAGAAACAATGGCCGAATCATATACTTCTGATTCTGCCACTGGTCGCCAATGATTGTGGAATTGGTATGTATCAGCTTATTGTCAGAATAAGGACTTTCTCAAGGATTTGGATTTAGCAAAACTAGGTTCCTGCTAAGGGGTTAGACTTGAAAAAAAACAATTACGAGGCCTATTAAGCACAGAGTTTTTACCATGCTTAACCAAGAAATGATATGATATGAAAAATACATCACTATCGATACAGTACCACAACAGTGCTGTGGATTTTGCAATTGTAAATACATGATAATCACAATCTGGTCACTTCAAACTCGAGTACCGATCAACTGACCTTAACCAAGATTTCCCTGAAGTTATATCAATTTAGTGAATGAATCTTTGGTAAACATGTATGGCACACTTGCCCAGGGTGGGTGATCTCTTTTTGGTATTCAACTATGGAAGGAATTTGAAATCTCTATTATCCATATTCATTTTGAACATTCTTCATATATATTCCAAAATTAGTTCGGAAAAGGTTTGATCAAGGATTGGTGATTGCTGCTTCTCGCCATTCACGATTGCTTACTCTTATAATTGCTTGGTTGGAATTAGAGGGTAGTGAATAATCCTTGTACCCGTCATTTTAATTTCATCTCTGATCAAGCATCAGGCTGAAAATACAACATTTACATTGTGTACTTGTCATTGTTAGGGGCTGCAAGGTTTTTCATCAAGGAGTTAGCCTATCACAATCTGGAATTGGAACGTAATCGACAGCAAGAGCTTGGAATTCGACGTCAGGACGTCTGGCCGTTTATATTGATGTTGGATGACTCGTGCGTGATGTGGCATTGCCATGACGAAAATAAAGCGGAAGATGGGTAAGTTTAAGAGGAAATCACACAAAGAAAAAATACTTGGTAATGTTCTATTTTGGGTCTGGCTTTGTGAAAAATTACATCATCATTATACATTTTGTCATAGACTAATAGTTTAAAGCATGGGAGTCGTCAACTGCGCATGCGTCAGATGGTCATAGCGTGTAATTGTTTACAAACAAGTATCTACCCATGAGCCTTTTAGTCTTTAGTATGTGTTGTTACCATTGTTTGGGACTCCATTCCCGCGTGTGCACAGGTGACAACCCTCTCGCTTTAAACCTTACACCATTCACAGAAATCAGTTATCGAAGTTATGTTATTATCACTGTGCATTTCATCTCCTCCAAACCCCTTCTTCCTTACTTGACAGACTAATTTATTTTACATTGCAGCAAAGACACACTGGTGACTCTTAAACATGTACTCGAGCATATTGAATCCACTCCTAAGTTATCACGATTTGCGGTGTTTGGAACTCGCCAATGGACAAGTAAGAGTACACTCAATGTTATGGAGCAGAGCTTTTCTAGGTGTCATGTACATACCATGTTCTTTGTCAATGTGGACCTCACACAGAATGTACAATTTGATCAGAACCGGTAAGTAAACCTTAGTTAATATCTGTAGATTTATCAGGCACCTTTGAAGGCATGTTTATGCATTTGAAGAGCGGCGGTCGTGGTGCCGCGTCCTGTTCGATATGGGACTCATAGCGACGTATACAACGCATGTAAAATACATTGTTTATTTACATGAAATTCGAACACGCGTTGCGCGGCGACTACCGCTTTAAATTGTCATAAAGGTTGTATTTGATTTCTTTGGAAAATTGCACTTCACTGTATGGGTTGCAATTAATACATAATTAATTATACGTAACCCAGGCATTTTAGAAACTGAAAACAGGACAAATTTTGTTTGAGCTGAGGATGTTTTGACAATTTGGGTTTGGATATACAGGTGAATATCATTTGGATGAGGTGTTGTGGATGAGATGGTTATTCATCAAGAAGTGGATGATCTATTCAACTTGATATACAATTTATTTTTTGGAAGCGGGGTATTGAGTTACTATTCTATGTTATTTCTAGTTTATCTGCTGTTATTGTCATCTTGGATGTCATTGACAGATAACATGTTTAAAATACTTATTTTTCCAATTACGTGGCTACTACTGCAATCACTTTTTCTGGATGCATTCCTTTTCATCAAGGTTTTCAGAAAATATTAGATTTGGTGGATAAAGTTTTTTAGACGCACAACATGCTAGTTTATTTTTACTGCGTCAGAAGAGTGTGTGTCCTTCAGCATACTACTAGTTAGCACTTATAGTACATTGTGCCCAGACCACTTGTTGCATCATATCAGCTGGGGGCTCTTGGAAACTGCTGGGTCTTTTCTTATACTCGCTGTGTGTTTTCATCACAAAGACTGGTTTCTGTTGTCCATATACAACCTTGTAAGAGCTTTGGTAATCCAGATCTGTAACGCACCTATAAATCAGACCCACTAAAAAGTGATTCTATAACTACACAACCAAACACAGCTGACGATTTGAACAACATTGACGTCGCCCATATCCAAAATGTATGTTGTTTTCATGCACAGAAAGTCTTTGCCACTAGACGGAATTACAGGAGTGTATTGTGTTCTTTGCCAGTTAATCTGATTTATTAAATTTTCATTCATTTTGTTTATTATTTAGGTACTTCTGTGATGATGTTGATTTCAATCTTAGAATCAACAGCAGTGGGTTTGTAATCTGTCGCTTTAATCGATTCTCCTTCATGAAGAAACACATCAACATTGGTGGACAGAAAGATTTTGTCATTCGACCAAAAGTTGGCACCAACACCGATCCTGTATCACCACAGCATTTTGTATGTGCCCCAGACAGCGAGGACATGACGCCTTTGCTGTGTACACCACAGTTTCTGCTGGAGAAGTACCTGTCATGTGTCAGTGCTGAGAGACTATTTCCACTGGCTGCAGGACAGCCCAAGCACCCACTGCTTCTTGTTGACTATTATCTGGACTTAGGTCCATCTATCACAGGTAAAGTTATGCACGATTTTATAACCTACATCTTCATTGGCTGCAATATACTGTTAGTAGTAATGAAAGCCAATGAAAGCAAGGCTACAAATTAGTCATAATATATATATTTGATCATAAAATTGCCATACTGTTGGATGATAAGAACATTCAATGAATAATCTATAGGATTCAATTAACTTTCAAAATGTTAGATGATGCTGAAGTTGGCCTCTGATTCAAATTTTTGAGTCAAATTCAGTTTGACAAGTTTGTGTCATGATTTAACTATTGTATCCTTAATAGTCCCTGCTCGGACAAACTTTGAAACAGGGACTTTTAATTTGGTCCGTCCATCAGTCCGAACCCTGTGGACCACATCTGTTCATTCTTTACATGGATTTAGTACTTTATTTTTTGGACATGTGCGTGTGTAGTGATTTACTGGTTTAATCAAAGACAAATGAATGGCAGGGACTTTTAATTTGGTCCGTCCATCAGTCCGAACCCTGTGGACCACATCTGTTCATTCTTTACATGGATTTAGTACTTTATTTTTTGGACATGTGCGTGTGTAGTGATTTACTGGTTTAATCAAAGACAAATGAATGGCAGCCATTTGTTTGTTGCTGAAAATGTGGTATCTTGTGCATGCTTGTCAGTTTTTGTTCAAATTTAGTACATTATACATGTTTAATAGGATACTTCTATGATGATTTGTTTCATGACAAATCAAAGATGGCCAACTGGCAGCCATCTTGTTATTTAGAAATGTTGTATCATGGACATGGTTTTTCATTTTCATTTATATTTGGCACATACATCTTACATATTGGAATACATGTCCATATCAGTTTGTTTCATATTCAGATCAAAGATGGCCGACTGGTGGCCTTCTTGTTTTTTGACTATACTACTATATCTCCAAAGCTTATCAGTCATTTTCATTCATATTTGGCACATACATCATACATATTGGAATACATGTCCATGTCAGCTTGTTTCTTAATCAGGACAAAGATGGACTTCTGGCAGCCATCTCACTTTTTGACCATACTACTATTTCTCCAAGGCTGGACAAATGAAATTAAGTTTGGATACAAAAATGCAGGAATAGCATATCCTGTTTAATTTCTGACCATAAATTTTGATTTAAGACTAAATATGAATCTACTCTTTGTATAATACAACTAGCAAAAAGATAATGGAAATCTTTAATTAAATAATTGAATAAAAGCCTGGGGGTACCCCTACTTTTGTCTTGAAAACAATGACTTTGTTATTTCTCTTTAGCTACGAGATCTTGCCTGGCAGCCACTTTGAATTGAAAATTTGTCAAAATACATAAAAGCTCCATGTTTTTTTTCTTCCAAAAAGTATAACTAATAACTGAAATTTTATGAAACGCCTCTGTCAAATGTGTACATGTATGTGTTTGTCACATTCATTTCTAAATGGAATCACTGTGTTGAGATTGTGCCTGATTGACTACCCAACTCCAATCAGACCAATCAAAGAGCAGCTTATTTGGTGACTGCTTTTTCAAATCATCTGCCTTGTACATGTATATATGCTTTGACTCAACTGAACAGATGAGAATTGTGTTGCAGTGGATTGTTTTATATTCTTTGGGCACTATGGTGTTGAGATGGTTTAGTATATGTGCAGCTGACATAGGTAATAAAAGATGGAGGCATTCAATAAGTTTCTCATATGCCCATATGATTTTCTTGATTACAGTCCATTGTGTGAGTTCTCGTCCTCATTCAGTAAATGCCGATGGTGGTAGTTTGACATTCAGTGGTCTTCTATTGTACATGGTGGACTCGTTCGTGAGAGCAGACTTCTTGAAGCAATTCAAATTCATGACAGGTTAGTAAAGAAGGTGATTTATGTTATGTGTCTGCATCTACTACTGTATAAACCACACTGTGTTGTACACTGTGGTGTTGATGTAGTCAATACTTTGTTTATGTCATACAGCCAAACATGTTTATTACAGTTTCAACTGATCAATCAAACATTGCACAATTTTCTTTTGACGAACCCCCCTTCCAAACACCTAGAACAGATGGATTATGACCAAAGTAAATCTAAAATTGTTATGTCATGTAGCCAAACATATTTATCACTGTAGCAGTTTCAAGTAATCAAACAATGCTCAATTTTCTTTTCACTAACCCCCTTCCAAACACCTAGAACATATGGATTATGACCAAAGTAAATCTTAAATGATAATAAAATAACTGAAAATTGAGCAATTTACTACATAATAAAAGTTCCTAAAAGTTCCACTTTTGAACTTCTTATAATATACAGTTATATATATAAAGTTTAGACTTGACTTATTACCTCATTGTAATACAGTGATTGAAATATAATAACGCATTAATCGTCTCTCTCCAGGTGCTAAGCTATGCCTTATTAGTCCTGATCGTAACAGTCTTCGACGACAGGTGGTACGTTTGGATCTTGAAGATCAGTGGCGTTTTCGTCTTCGTGATGAGTTTCAAACCGCCAACAGTAATGAAGACAAACCATTGTTTTTGCTGACTGGCACACATGTTCCTGTATGAGACTGATTGATGGATGGCAGGACAGAAAGACAGACAGACAGGTTCTTCTGAAAGTTCAGCCTTTTCTGCTTGACTCCCTTTCTTGTAGTGAGTAAGGATGTTGACTAGATATTCAGTGATTCCAGTCTTTTTGATTGCATTATTTCCTTATTGCTAGCCTCAAAGGAGGTGCTGTTCATTAATTCTTGCGTCCTGATGGCACTGTTTCTTTATTGTTAGCTTCTAAAAGGTACTGTTCCATTAATTCTACCCTCCTCATTGCACTGTTCCCTTGTTACTGGTCTCTAGAAGTGCTGTTTTTATATTGACTAATTGAAGAGGGCACAATTCAGTAGTTCCAATTTCAAGGGAGGCACTGTTTCATTCATGCCAGCCATTGGAAGGAAGGTGCTTTATTACCAGCAGCTAGTAATATTCACAGACTACATCTTATTGCATTGTTTTCTTTCTGCCAAACTACTTGCCCACCTATTCAGATACTACTGATAAAACGCCAGTGTCACGTATACAGTGCATTTTTTTGTTATGAAAATCATATTCCATGAGGTTTTTGACACTTTTCAGCTGGTCCTGGTTGAACACAAACACCTGCAAACCTTAAACCAAAGTGAAATCCGGAGTGAACGAATCTTACCCAGTCAATTTGGCCTTTTCATCACCCATGGTGATACAAGTCAATAACTCCTTTTTGATATCCTCCCCCAGTGATTATAACTTTGGATTATGCAACTGATTTTGTACCTTGCACTACAAGTTAGCATACTGTGAATGAATTTATTTAGCTGTAATTAATTTTACTCACAATTTATTTGTCATACTGTAAACAGCCTATTTTTACTACCAGGAATTTTAGCAATTTAATTTTGTCGTTAGAACAAAATTTTGTGAAAGTCATTGACTTGAAAACAAATTGCTTCTTGCCAAAATCCAGACAGTTTACAGTATAGTTGCCTGTAGGTATATGTAAACAATTTGTTTTTATTTGTACTGGTCAGTGAAAATAAATTCCAAGTGAAAATAAGCATTATATGGTATTATTGCATGCATACATTTGATTCAATTTAGGGGAATGTTTCTGGTAGGTTTATCATTGTAGGTCATTGTCTGTTACTAGATAACTATTTTCTTTCGTCAACTGTTGAGGCTGACTTCTGATCCGGTTGGGGTGGGAGTGGGGGTGATTTGTAAATTTACATATTCATGCTGCATTTTTTCTGCACTTTTATAAAGTTATCACATAAGTGGCTGTGACATTTATTTCCCTTTTAAAGGGATAAGGCTCAGTATAACTCAAACACATATGGGACATTGACAATCTGCATAAAATCCATCATAATTTGCTTTGGAAATTCTAAATTGTCTACAAGTTTCAATTTTCACTTCATTTGGGATACTTTCTTTAATTTAAAATTAAATAACCTGTTCTATGCACACACAGTGTGAATTTGGATAGACTCTGGATTTTAAAATTTTGTATTTTTTAGGTTTTTTCACTTTATTGAGCTGTATATTGTGTACAATAAACAGTTCTTTCTTAGGGAAATTTAGAATTGTATATTCTTCAAAAGAATAAGGTCAGTTGCTGCATTATTTTTTTTAATAGTGAAAGTTGATTTTTTTGCATATTAATTACAGTAAATTAATTATGCTAATTACTCTTCAATGTCAGATAGAGGGCACTGTTCACAAAGATAGAGGGCACTGTTTACAAGTCATTATTTTCAAGAAAATTATTCTCCACAGTTGTTTTATTTATAACTGATGTAACATGCAGGTTGATTATGATATTCTTTGTTCAGCCCAGAACAAAGCAAATGTCCAAATAATCACAGAATCTGGTGGTTCAAAACTGTCACCAGTAAAAGGGCATGTACCATAATTATTAAGTGTATTTTTAATTCAGGTTTACTATTTAAAGGAGAGGTCACAAATTCTTAACAATTACTTTCACAGCAATACTGTAGAATACTTTATTTTCACTTGGAATTAATTTTCGTTTTTTTCACTGAAGGAAAGATTCAGTGAAAATAAAATCCAGAGAATATATTTCCTATAGTTTACATTCAACTCTTCAAAAATCGGTGAAAATAAATTCCCTACAAAACACCCAAAAAGTCCTTTCAGTGAAAATTAATTCCAGCTAAAATAAAGTATTTAACAATATATTGCATCTTTTTGCCAAGGCACAGCGTTGGAGGAACCTTCTGTAAATCGATTCAACTTTAAAACTATGGTAGATAAATATTTTTGTCTCGCTTAAAAAAAAAGAACATACCAACAACTTTAGGTTTCTGTTAGTAATGTGGCTGTTCAAATAGACAACACAATAAACCCCACCCACCTACATGACTTGGTGTACTTTTGGCAAACGATATCTAAAAAAAACATATATTTTTTTTTATTCCAATATGCTTTTTTGGATGAATGATGTAGTTTTGTATTTTGCCCTAATATGTAGATATTGTCCCAAAAGATATCGTTATTGCCACTTAGATGAACGTTTTAATGATTGTAGCAGTCAAACTGCACGATTTTCTGTAGAATTATTAAATTAACAAATGATGTTTTTCACAATATTTCTTTAAGATAAATTGTGATCAACCTTTATGTGACGTGAGCAAACTTAAGACAATATATTCATCAATATAAAATAATACAGTTATTAGATTCATGCATACACATAAACATATAATCAAGGTTGTGTTCTGATTGGATAAAATTCCAATGTCCCATGTGGTAGTCATTGCATACATTTGAATATATAATTAAGGTTATGTACTAGTTGGATGAAATAACAATGTCCCAGGTGATAGTCATTTCTATGCATTTGTGTGGGACTTTAGCGAACTATTTACAGTGATGTAACCCTAAGAAGAGTACAAGCTTTTGTTTTTACTTTCAACAGTTTATATTGATATTTGTAATAGGTGTAACTGGGTGTAGAAAAATTATGGAGAATTTTTTGCTTTTTGGATTATTAATAAAATATTGCTCTTTGTATTCTTCTGTCTCCAGTTCCTTTTTTTTGACATTATTTCTTACTCATAAACAAAACAAAAAAAAAGTCTAGTTCCTTTGTTTGTCCATGTTGGACGGCTAAATCATGGACTTGTTTTGGTTCCATCCATGTGTGAGCCCGTTCATCTGTCATTTCCAGTCATAATATAAAGTATTTATTTTGTGCTTGAACCCATTACAATGGTATATTCTATAGAACTGAAGTTACACTACACTACAATTTACAGCACCAGTAGAGGATGTTCAATTTTGATGAATATCTAGGTTTAATGGGAAGTTAATTCCAGAGAAGCAGCATGGAAACCAGCATATGTAATTTGTCTGTATTCTGAGGACGGCTGTTGGACGGCTAAATCATGGACTTGTATTTGTTCGATGACCCACAGGCGATCCCGTAGGGGACCGACCTGACTACCAGGCATTTGATGCCCTTGCTCATTTCCTTATAAGTGAAAAAGGTGGGTTCAACAATGTCTGATCCTGCAGGCTCGGGTGCTCCCTTGGAGCCCCTTCTTCGAAATGACTTTTTGAACTGCGCCATAGGGGTGATGCGGGAGGTCAATGATATTAATCAACGACCTGAACCGACCTGCTTT